GCCAAGGATGTCAACGTCGAGACCCTCGACAGACATGCACCGAAACTGACAGAGACAAGGAGCAATTGGTTTGAGTTGGTAAGAAGGTCGCTGCCATCATCGCGAAAACAGGAAGGGTGTAGAAAGGTATTTTCGTATGACGGCAGACGACTCGGGATCCACATCACGGTTCGTGATTGGGGATGTGGACTCAAATCAGATGGTTATCCGATCATCATCAGATGGCAGGGTACGAGGAACGAGACATGGTCGTCTAGATGATGCAACTAACAAAGGTAGGAAGTTAGGTCGAAGAGACGAATGCAAGGAGCGAGGGACGGAGCAAATGAATGGACGATGAAGGTCCATAGGTTTAGTAAAGTGGGAAAGCCCTCCAGGGCCAACCATGCACTTCAGGAAGATAGATCGACGAGATCTATCTGCAAATGAAACTGCGAGAAAACAGAGGATCGAAAGATCCTGGTATATGTATGCATATCGGAGCTCAGTTGTAGAGCTCACAATCTGAACAAGAGAGAAAGAGAAAACGAAACGAATAGCCAGTCTACTAGACAGTAGAGCTGGAAGGATATTATAGAGAAATTGTGCGTTCAAGTTCACACCTTTTCAACACCGGGCCCCTGCGGTTGCTTCGATTTTGCAAAAGCTCTCCGTCGTAACCAAGAAAGTCTCCAGCAGCTCCAAGCTCCCCAATGTCTAGCTAGCTAGTAGAGGCAAGGCAACATCATCCTGCTGCCTTCTGGGTCCCTGGCACGGTTCATTTCCTTGGATGTTGGGTGAGATTGTTGGCCTAGAAGAGCCTGGGTATCGTCTGAAGAACTTTTCAAGCAATTGCATCTGACATGATTGTTCCGTTGGGAAATCCACTTGCAGACTCTCCCAGCCAAATAGCCCTTGCTGCGATCGTACTCCCCAAAGCAATTGAAAACCCGACATAGTCCATGGTTTCAGGATATGGTCATAACACCTCCGAGCAATACAGACCAGCCCCTACCGGTATCAGTGAGTGTAACTCGAGTGAGTTTTCCCAGTGGGGATCGTTCGCCCGGGATACTTCGGTGCTAATCTAAAGCCACGTCTTTCACACAGATACCTAGAATACAATTTAGCTTCTCCTACCGGTATCCTGTGCGCTGACCTTATCGGCGGCTAGCTATGATAGGGATGTGCGACACACCAGTAGTAACGAAAGCACTAGTTTGCCAAAGAGTTGCAGATCGTGGTGGGAATCGAATCGGAGGATGAGGCGGACAATCACGGAGCACGCAGCCTAGCTTGTCTTGTCTGCTCCATTCAGCCATTCAGCTTCAGGGTGCAAACTTGCTAGCCACCTGTCCGCTTGCAGGATGCTTTAGCGCCAAATTTCCAAAGCTCCAGGCTTGGATGCTCAGTGGAGGCAAAGGAAGTAACGTATTGAGAAGTATACTGACGCCCTGAACTATGTATATGTAACAATTATTCCTATACCAGCCTAACATAATGATCGTCATCAGCATTCCGGTCGGTGTCAAGAAGTTGACTGGCACCTTCATCTTCGGCTGCTGCCGTCTGTGGGTCGAAGCAACACCACCAAAACAGCAGCAAGGAAACATTGACCAAGATGTTTATGGCGACACCAATAGGTACTAGCACCTTTGAAACGAAAGAGGCTTGTGTGGTCCCCGCTGTAGAATCGATAGCAAAGCTATACTCCGAGAAGAGGATGGCCTGGACTGTTCCCAGGGCAACATTGGCCATGATGAAGCCAATCAGCACTGTCCATTCCACCGAAAGGCTGGACGAACTTGCTTGACTTGACTCTCTCAATCTTCTAATCATTGGCAGTGATAACACGTATAAGCAAAGAATGACGGTAGCAGGGATGGCAATGGTTGCTATCAAGCCATCGCACAGTAGTCTCACTTGAACCACACCCCAATTCGTCTCCATTTGAGCCGCCGCCATGACCGCACCAAAGGATAACAGATGGTAGCTGGCGCCGAGCAGAAAGCCAAGGATCATGGCCTTGCGATTTGCATTGCTGCAACTATTCTTGGCCATGGTAGTCAGTTATTCAGAAGGAAGGATGAGAGATGAAGGTTGAGTTGGATGGCCAGAATCAGAATCGAAGTTCGAGATTTGTTGGCGCTACAATGTACATTGTACCTTCCCGGGTAGCCAGAAGATCCGAGCCTTGATTATAACTTGATAGAGCCGCTCTTGCAAGTGTCAAAGCGATGTTCTTTCTTCCCCAGACCGCCCGCTTCCGTGACATTGTTCTCTTATTCGGTCGTACTTTGTGACATGATGAAGTATGGCTATAGCTCCTGAAGAGGATCTACAGTACTGTACATCGTACTAGCTAGCAAGCTTGCTCAGCTACCTGGACACTGGACATGGCCAGCAGAGGTTACGTCTAGCCAGCTACTAGCAAGAGCAGCCAATAGGCGTTAACCCACTGGTGCTATCTTAGCAGGCACTCCTCTATCTACTACATGTAGCTAGTAGAAGTGTCATGGCTCTGAACCCCTCCAAGGCCTGTGGCTACCGGTGCCAGTACGATGCAACTTGTGATTTGTTGCCCCAGGTTTCCTACTGGTCGTTAAAGGTGGCTGAGTATTGAGACCCTTGCTCTGTGTTCACTACGGCTGTAATACAGTCGACTACTGGTAGCTAGCTTGCTAGAGTTGAAACAGGATAGTCCAATAAGATGCACAATTTGTTTACCTGAATGATTAGTGCGGCCTCTAGAAAGTAACGTTTCATTCAGTGTGTTCGCAAGCTCTGTGGAAGTTGGGTCTTCTGCAGATTGTTCCAGTGGTGGAGGGTTGGCTCAAGGGCTGATGACACTAAGTTTTCGTCTTTGGTTGGCTGTTTTGACCATGAGGGCCGTAATGGAAGCTGCCGTCATGGCACGAGTATCCACATCGTCAATCGCGACAATGATATCGCCTGATTTGAGTTTGCCTTCTAGAGCTGACCCAGGATTCACCTTGTGCACAACGGGTCCATCAAGCGTCGTGTCAATGACAATGCCCAACTTGCCGGCCGGTGCCAAGACATCCTTGGTGGGTTTTCCACTTATGCCACCACCATTGCGGTTCGCAATGGGCATTTTTAGAAAGGCAAAGGAAGACGTTCCCGACGTCATACTCGCCACGGACGATCCACCGGGATAAACCGTATAGCTCATGGCCGACGCTCCACTGCTGGGAACGACATTTTGAGGCACTCCTCCAGCAACACTGGGTTCAATGCCTGGTTCGAGACTGTAGGCATAGGATGCATTGTCCATGACGGACATGTCTCCGGTCGTAGTAGCGCCCATTTGACTCATATTGTCGGAATCCGAGGGAGGCGACGATATCGGTTGATGTGTGCTGGGAGTAAAGGCCGCGGAGCTACCAAAATTGTTGTTATGGTTGGCATTGTTGGTCAAGTAGGAGCTCGAAGAGACGCTGCTTTCGGCTCCATTCGATGGTTTGGTTTGAATTCCAGTGGTCGGTGCTTTGGTTTTGCTGGTCCATCTGTTCGTCTTGGAGGAGGTTGCTGCTGCTGCCGCTGTCGGAGCATCTTCCGCAGCGTCCTCGGAATGTGTCGGACCAAAGTTTTCGGCAATACTATTGTTAACACTTCCTCCCAATGATTTTTGCCGTTGCATGTACCAGACGTAGCGTATCAACAGCACACCGACAATCAAAAAGACAACTCCACCGACAGCGGCTCCGACAATTGCCATCATGGGGATCCCTCCACCTTCCGTAGTGTCGTCGCCACCGCCACTGGCGCCTGTTTCACTAGCAGTATTGCTGGTAGTCACCAAAGGAGGACTGGTGATAGGAGGCTGCGTGGGTGCATTAATGGCCGTGGCGGGTTCGAGCGGTGTCACTGCCGTGAGTGGTTCAAAAAAGGTGTTTTCTTCGGCTTTGGCCAAGTCTTGCAACATGGTGACAAATTCGACGGAACCTTGCGCAAATAGGTCGTGCAGCCACTTGTTCCAATCCTTGGCTCCGAGCAATTCATCATATGCCAATCCTTCCACTCCCAAATCGACTTGCAGGGCAGACTGCAATCGCCTCATGCGTGATTGTGGGCCGACATTTTGATAAATGACCGTGACACGAATATCTTCGACGTGTCCCTTGGCGGCCGAGGCAATGAATTCATCGGCCGTGGCCAAAAAGATCATGCGCATGTCTCCGGGAAAGACCGTGTCAATGCCCTCGAGTTGAAGGGAGAGCTGTCCCGAGAGTGGGAATTCGGGCTGTGGCGGTGCCGTGGATGGGTTCGGCGTGGAAGGTGCCGGTGTCGACGGTGCCAATGTAGACGAATCGGTAGGAGCTGCTGTGGGGTCTGGAGCAGTCGTTGGAGCAGGAGATGACACAACCTCTTCTTCTGCTTCAATGTTGTCATTCATTTCCGTCGTAGTGTCTTCCGTGTCTTGTTGTTCTTCTTCCTGAAAGTCTAGTAGAGGTTGTGTGGTGGCATCTGTATCATTCACGGGCTGAGTCGCCTCCTCGTCCGTGGCATTTGAGGTCGTCATTGGTTCTTCCTCCATAACAACAGTAGGTCTAGTTACTGTACCGGTAGCGATGACAACCTTGGACGGCGCACTGGTCGGAGAATCTGTTTCCACTAATTCTGCTGGTGGTGTGGTAGTAGTAGCCGTATTGTTGGGTGCCGAAAAGATGGTGGTAGCCGCCGTTGTAGGAGGCAATGTCATGGGCTGCTGGGAGGGGAATTCACTCTTTGTGGGCATAAAAGTTGGCATTTGTGTGGGTACACTGGGTACGGCAAAAGTTCCTTCGTCCATCGTGGAAAACTCGTCTTGTGGCAGGGGTGGTGCTGCATCAATATCGCCTGTTTCGTCGTCGGTAGTGGGGAATACCGAAGGTGCTTCCGTGGGTGCTGGACTCTCAGTGGGTATCATTCCCGTTGGAAAGTCGGTTTCGTCGAGCGCAAAAAAGGTTTCTTCATCTTCCTTATCCTCTCCTTGGTCATTCTTATTATTGTCGTCTAGAAAGAAGGGTTCGTCTTCATTGTTATCTTCTCCTTGATCGTTATCTTCAGGTTCTGCCACTTGTGCCACTGGTTCTTTTTCCTCCTCTTCTTCTTCCTCGTCATTGTCATTCTTTTGGCGCAAGGTTTGTGACACGCTACCAAACCCAAATCCTCCTCCACCTCCACTACTGCTACTAGTGGAAGAACTGCTGGTAGAGGCACCCGAACTGGGACGTCGAAAGTAGCCTGCCCAAACACCTGGTGATTGGGATAATAATGACACGGCTATTATCAGTAGTAGTGGTAGATAAGGACGCGGCGGAAGAGAGACTATCCTCCGTTGTTTGCGAAATTTCGTTGGAGATGATGAGGATGATGAATGTGCCATGGTGGTGCGTGTGGATGCCTGACTAATAAGATGGGTAGCAAATAGATGATAATAGAGCGACAATAGATGATAGACTAGCTAGCTAGATAGATAGTAGCACAAAGAGAGGGGCGCTGCGTGTCTCTGTCTCTGTTGTTCGCTCCAACATCCAGTGCACTGATGACAGCATGCACCGGCAGCCACAACAACAATTGACGATTGTAAAGTGGAGGCAAAACGCCACCGTGCCAAAAATTTCCAAAGGGGTCTCGATGCTTCAAATCGCGGAGGGCGTGGAGGGCTTTAGTCCCAATGTTCAGCGCAAGCCGACAAAATGTCACATGTCATTGCTCACAAAAACACGTCAGTGTCTGTCCTTCTCTCCCAAATCGTCGGAAGACCAAAGCAAAAGCAACGTCTTTTGTCAGCTAGAATCTTTGGGCAACTCGTCGTCTTCCTACTTCCTACCTATCTTCTATTCATTCATTCATTCATTCGATCTTTCAATTGAAAAAGATGGATCAAGCATCCGACAATCCTTCGCCGTTGCACACTATTGTAGTAGTGGCCAAGTGTCCCATTCCGGGAAAGAGCAAAACGAGATTGATACCCAAACTCAAGGAAGAAGGGTCGGCAAAATTGGCCAAGGCCATGCTATCGGATGTTCTCATCACACTCTCCGAATGTGTAAGATGGATTCCTCTATACTATCTATCTATCAATCAGTTATCTATCCCTTGTACTAATTCTCACATGATGTTTTGATATTGGTTTCTGGGACAGGCGCAACTGGCAAAGGTTCGAAAGATTCTCTTTTATGCTCCCGCCAACGACCAAGGCAAGACCATCATGAACAATCTACTACAAGAACTGGATCTATCTACTTCTTCTACCACCACCACAAGTAGTGATCATCCACAACCACGAGATTGGATGCTGCTACCCATGATTTCGCAAGACTTGACGTCGCCCAATCTAGGGGATATCCTCACGGATATTCTTCAGCGCACTCGTGCCCTGCAAAATAATGGCAATGTCGTCTTTTTGGGAATGGATTCTCCCGAATTGCCAATGGAAGAAATTGTGGCGGCAATCAACAATAATCAACAACACGCCGTGTTGTGTCCGGCCAACGATGGTGGCTATGGCATGTTGTCCGTGCCACGAAACGCACCGGCGGACAGAATATTTCAAGGAATTCGGTGGTCCGACCCCTTGACGGCACTGGGACAAATCAAGGCATTGACCGATGCCAATATCCCAGTACAACTGGGTCGATTGATGAATGATATTGATGAAGAAGAGGATTTGGAGGCTCTGTGTCAACGATTATTGGCAACCGCAGGAAAAGATGATAGAATCACAAACGCAAACGAACATGATAATCAGCAGCAGAACGGAAACGACGATGTTTTACTCCAGAGCAGCAGTGGCAGTCAGGGACCATCCATCACAGGGTCGTGTCCAAATACACGACAAATTTTGCAAGAGTTGAATCTTCTGTCGACCCCATGACACAGGCCCAGAACTGCTGTCTTTCTTCTGAGAAACGTTTTGTAATGTTAACTATTCATTTTTATTATTAATGGTCGTGGTCTCGGCTGGGCACACTGGGGAATTCTACAAGACTGTGCGTCTCAGGCCGAAAAAGAAAAACGACACCACCGTCTAAAGTTCTGCCCCAAGGCTCTCTTTCACACCCGCAACTCGCGCAGCGGCATCTTCGTAGGCATTGTAGGCTCCACTACTGTCACCAGGACCGTCCTCCATCAATTCCCTCATGAGTTCGGCTTCCATTTCCGCCGCTTCATTGCCCAAACCTTCTTCGCTGAGCCATCGTTCGGCATCCAAAGCCGCCGCGGCACCACTGCCCGCCGATGTAATGGCTTGTCTGTACACGGAATCAGCCACATCCCCAGCAGCGAAAATGCCTGGCAGCGAAGTGTAGGTGGATGTCCCAACCGTCTTGACATAACCGGGATGACTGGGATCAAAGTCCACAATGCCCTCCAAAAAGGACGTGGCGGGTGTGTGTCCAATGGCGACAAAGACCGCGTCCACTGTGATTTCGGTTTTCTCGCCCGTATTAACATTCTTGACAATGGCAGCCTTGACGACCATTTGGTCTTCTTGGGGTGTTTCCGAAGCTTGCGGGGCGGGACTGTCCATGTCGAGTTCTTCTTCTTCGGCTTCATCGGCATTGGTGTTGATTGTTCGGGCGGCTTTCGGGTCGTTGAGAGTTTGTCCCACAATTTCGTCCAATGTGGTGTTCCATTTAATCTCAATGACGGGATGATTGATGACACGTTCGGCCATGACTTTGGACGCCCGGAAAGTGTCCCTACGATGAATCAAAGTGACTTTGGAGGATGTTCGTGCCAAGACGAGTGCATCTTCCATGGCAGTGTCACCACCTCCCACTACCAAGACTTCCTTTCCGGCAAACAAAAATCCATCACAAGTGGCACACGACGAGACACCACCTCCCCGCAATTCGTACTCACCGGGGATCCCCAGCCATTTGCTTTCGGCCCCCGTGGCGACAATGATGGAATGTGTTTCGATGGCTCCGGTTTCGTTGGTGTGAATGGTAAAGGGTCGTTTAGAGGTATCGATTTTCAAGACCATGTCGTCTTCAAAGGCGGCTCCGAATTTGGCCGCTTGATGCCGCATCAATGCAATGACGGCGGGTCCAGTGACATTGGCCAATGCGGGATAATTCTCGACATCGACTCCCTTGCCTTGTAGCTGTCCTCCCATGCTGGGTGCGATGATGAGTGGATTGAGTCCGGCACGGGCCGCGTAAATGGCAGCCGACATGCCCGCAGGACCTCCACCAATTATAGTGATCTATACACGACAACAAGAAGGAGGAGGGAATTGTTAGCTGAAAGACGCCTCCTTTTTCGTTTTTTCGTGTTGTAGTAAATAATGCACGTACCGGTTGAGGAAAGGGTCCCGGAGTCCATCTTTTGAAATCCGGATCTGGTTCCTCTTCGTCTTCTGCTTCATCTTCGACCTGGGCATCCCGTTCTTCGTCCAATCTCTTTTCCAATTCCACCTGCAGCTGTTCTTTGGTGGCCAAGTGTAGATTGGGAGCACCACTGGATCCTCGTGGTTTTCGTGCTTTTTTGGTACTATCCTCCTTACTACCACCACTGCTTTCGTCGGATCCTGTAGTGGGTTGTGGTTGGTATCGTTTTTTGGTGGGTGGTCCTTTGCCGTATTTCTTTTTCAATTTTCGCAGCAACTGCGTCGCCGATCCACCGACACACTCTTTCGATCCGCGTGTCTTTTTGGCGCATTTTTGATACAAGGATTCGACATCGGCTTGTGGTTTGTTGGCATCCATTTCCTGATAGTACTGCTGAAAGGCTTCCAATTCAATGGCGACATTTTCGTGTTCGGCTTGTCGAATGGCCTGTTGGGTGGATTGTCGCAATCGTTGTTCCCCAATGCCGCCCTTTTCCGTCATGGTGGGATTACGGGGATCTCCAACAAACCACATGAAAGTGGGGAGCGATCGAACCTGGAATCGCGAAGAAAGCTCGTATTGGGCATTGGTATCAATCTTGACAAAGACGGTCGTGTCCTTCATTTCTTGGGCCACCTTTTTGAAAATGGGGGCCATCATGCGACAAGGACCACAAGAATCAGAATAGAAATCAACCACCACAGGCAGACCCGTCTCGGTGGTGTGCTTTTCAATCAAACGGTCGAATTCTTATAGTATACACAAACAAAAAGAGAAAACAAAAGAGGCACTTGAGAAACAATACTACTCAATTGCACCGACAAAAAAGCAAGTGCAGGTCCTACCATGAGTGGAGCGAATGTTGCGCACAATGGGTCTTCCTTCCACTATCCAAACGCTCCAAAAGAGCAACGCTAGACGGACGCCGTTCATCATGGTCATTCTACTACTACTACCACTACTAATTCGAAGCTTTGTCATTGCCATCTGGCAATCACTTTTGTGCATGCTGCGGCGAAGCGGACCATTCATTCATTCGATTTGAACGAGAAAGCTCTGCGCCAATGTTGGTCATCCACGAACAGCTTGGTCGCTGGTCGCTTGGAATTCTTCTTTCGGCTTCGATTGCGGCAAACGGCAAGACGGCCACGTACCTTTTGAGCTGTCTAGCCCTATTCCTACTGTAGCTTTCTGAAGGCTCACACAGATGGAGCACGTTTCAACTCCGCGCCAAAGTTTTCGTCATTCGGCACTCATCACAACCTGACCAGCTACCAGTACCATACCGGTAACCGTCGAGCAGAGAGGATAGGAACACTTTCACAAACTTTTCGAACGCTCATTACACAGTCGAGCTTTCCATTGCCTTTTCTCCCATTCCATACCGTACGCTCCCCATCATGAACGCTGAAGAGCACCCACGACGAGCCGCCGATCACGCCAAGAACTCTCGCGACAGAAAGAAGGAAAAAGAGGAAGAATTGGAACAAGAGAACGAACGGCTCCGACAAGAGAACCAGCGGATCCGACAAGAGAACCAACGGCTCCGACAAGAGAATGAAGAGAGAGACTTCTTCAATGGCGTGCCCTTCCAGTCAGCTCCCGTGGCAATCGGGACGGTCGCTGGCAATGGTGCCGGTGCCGCTCATGCTCACTCTAGTAGTGCCAACAATGGCTCATTTCTGACCCCAGACTTCATCCGCAGTCTGTCAACGTTGACCCCATCACTTCAAGGGAGTTTGTTTTTATCGGCGGCGAGAAAGGAAAGCACCAGATTGGCACGCGAAGCCAAAGCCTCTGTGACCACAACCTTCTGGCAAAGCATTGATGAAGGAAATCAGCAAACCCAAGAAATAATCCTTTCGATTTTCGGAGGAACACCCACAGCCACTGGAACGCATGGTGGGCACCAGGCCGATGACATGCCCTCCACTGGCAACGGTGTTGCTACTGATCCATTGAGTGCTAGCAATGGCTCATTTTTGGCTGGATACCTCTTCCTAAGTTTGTCAACTTTGGCGCCATCAATTCAAGGGAGTGCCATTCAATCAGTGCTGCTATTGGAACTTGAAAGGTCGGCACTCGAGGCAAAAGCCTCAGTGACCACAAACTTGAGCACAAACTTGAGCACAAACTTGAGCACAAACTTGAGCACAAACTTGACAAACTTGGCTGTGAGCTACTGCCAAACTGTCGATGAAGGAAGTAAGCAAACCCAAGAAAGAATCCGTTCGATTTTCGGTGGAACAGCCACTGGGATGCACGGAGCACACCAAGTCGGTGGGGGCTTCTCCATTGGCATGCCCTTTGGGTTGGCTCCACGGGCTGTTCCAGGCAGCTGCTGGGACGGTTGCTGGCAATGGGTGGGGCGACTCGAATCAGACAACCTTTGGCCCTCAACCTCCTCCACCAACCAGCGGTATTAGCGCCGTCTCGGCTGGGCAGGCCGGAGCCGGCAACCAACCATCCTTAGGCTCCCCTCGCGGATTGGCCGCAGCAAATGGAAAAGGGAAAAAACGAAAGTTGACAAAGGAGATGTCCGAAAACCAACCATCCTTGCCAGGCTCCCCTTGCGGATTGGCCGTAGCAAATGGAAGAGCAAAGAAACGAAAGTTGATCAAGGAGATATCCGACGATGACGGCGATGACGACGTCGACATGTAAAGCCGGCCGTACCGTACCGGTATGCATAGGCTCCCCAAACAGCCAGATGGGTCGTAGCCTTCTTCACCTTGAAAATGATAAGCCAAATTGTGAATTCGGCACCGTTACTAAACTAGGAAATGAACAATTACAAGCATTGAACCAAACTTGACTTTACGCTATGCTTGCTTTGGAAGCCTTCTCAACCGGCACAGGGTTAGCCGCAATTTGGAGACAAGGTTGTACCGGTACTGATACCAGGAAGTGCCAGGTGCCACTCCTCCCGGGCTACATGTGGCCGTATGTCATACGGCAGGCCAAGCGGCAAGACAGCCACGTATACTTTTGAGCTATCTCCCTATACCGGTACCTCTACCGTGCTGTCGGTGCCGTACCATCAGGATTATAACACAGAGTATCTCACCCCGCTTGCAAACCCAACTGAAGTTTTGGTCCTAATGACTACAACATGTTTTATTCCGATTTACTAAATCATGTTTTATTCCGATTTACTAAAGCTTGTTTTATTCCGATTTACTAAATCTTGTTTTATTCCGATTTACTAAAGCTTGTTTTATTCCGATTTACTAAAACTTGTTTTAACCTTAATGACTATTACGCGTTTTATTCCCAATTACCAAAACATGATTTAGTCCGGACGACCAAAACACAGAAACAGGTCAGAAAGACGAAAATTTGGCTTGGCTCCTCTTTCTTTCTGTCAAAGTTTCGCTTACCTTGTTTCTTTCTGAGACCAAAACATGTTTTTTCAGCAGCACACACAACACGCTTTGAGGCAACATCAACAAACAAACAACTCGATCAAACCTATGGCCAACTTGCACCAGCAGTCCTCCATGGGGATTTGCAGGAGGGGGAGCACTCATGGAGACCATCACAGATTCTGTTGGACATGTTGAAGGGCAAGATAAGATCAATTTGTGTCAAGTCTTCAAGTATGACACAGCTTTTGGCTCCAAATCACTTGGTGAGAACTTATCCTTCCCAAAGATGTCTATGAACCCTCCTTTGACTACCACAAAAGTCTTGTGAAGAGGATCAATGAAGCAGCATGCAAGAGGATACACAAATCAAAGTGATCAAAACAGAGAAGGTTGGTGAAAGGTACAATGTTTACATTGGCTGCAAGTACTCCACGAGTTATAGAGACAAGATCGCTTACCAAGGAAAAGAGAACGCAAACAGCAAAGCCGCTGATCTGTACAAGGACAACATTCGTGTGGACAGACTTGTGGACAAAGATGCAGCCAACCGCCATCACGGCAGAAGCGAAGCCAAGAGGACTTATACTCAGCTCCCACCTAGTGGAAAAAAATGTCCCTTCCGATTCCTCCTTGTTCTAATTCCAGGAAAGCACTGGTACATTAGATTCACAGAAAAGTCGAAAGGTTGTCACAATCACAAGAGGATTCCAATTTCAGAACAGAATCGGCCATTGTCATCCTTTTCCAAAGAAGAATTGAAGCAAGCTGCGAGATTCAGTCAATTGACCCATTCTGGAGCTGCAGTCACTCTCACACAGGAGCTCACTGGAGCAAAAGTAACTGCTGCGCAATTGGATTACAACAGGAAGAAGGTTGAGGGTCGCAATCCCAATAGAGCACCAAAAACACAGGCTGAGGAATTGATTCATTAAACCAGTCCTTGGGAGAAGCAAAGGATTTTCCATGAATGTCAACTGCCAGAACACTTCCTGTGGCTGCACTCCAAGTCTTGACTGCTTTTCCGCGTCCAGTAAATCCATCCTCAGGAACAGCATAAACATGCAGGACACCAATTGCAGCACAGGAGGAAGCAGGCTTGATGAAGATTCCATTTTTTCGACGCTCAAGAGTTTTGTCATCATTGGGCCACAGACAACCATTCCTTTGGGTGCAATGATCAAACGAGCGGTCCTCTTTGATTCTGGATTCAGAAAGGAGCAGAAGGTCCCTCCAAGACATATCTTCCCATGTTGTGTTCACTGTGGTCACCTGGCCAGGGGCACCAATAGCTGGGTAAGTGTAGGTTAAACTGCCCGGCAATGGAAATGTAACAGCATGAAAAGGCATCTTCACTCCCTGCAAAGGGATGTGGGTTCTGATCTTGTTCCGTAGCAACATCGCCATGCAACAGGGTGGATCAATCCTGACACCCATTCCAGACAGAATGAACAACGTCTCATAGTAGTAATCCACCAAAGGTTGTTGGGTGGCATTCCCACCATATCCAACCTCGTACAAACGGACATCATGACCATCCCTGAAGGAGTCAATATTGGCAGAAAGGACCTTCAATAAGATTTCCCTTCGGTTCAGCATCCAATCAACAAAGGTTTCCTGCTTGATGAATCGGATCTTTGTGTCAGTATCCTCCGGTGTTGGTAGGTTCAACTCATTACTGCGCTTCTTCAAACTCTTCTTGAAGAAGAAGGCTTCAACAATGATCTGATGGGGTAGAGAAATGGGTTCATTCTCTGTGGCATTGCCAACAGTGAACAGCGGTTGCAAGTTCGACCCTGAAATCACTTCTCGGCAGACTTGATCATGGACGGGGGCGATCACATACTCAAGTTGTTCATATCTCTGCTGGAACACCGCACAAGTATCGGGGTTTGCTATTTCCAATAAACAATATCGGTGATAGAAGGAAGCGTTGCTGTGGTTCAGGAACTGAGTGTACTTCGTCTCTTGTCTCTCGCCATTGTCAACAGCACCAAGTTCAGGCATGGGTTCTTCGGGAGGCATGGGTTCTTCGGGAGGATTAAGCTGAGGTGCTGGCGCATCATCAAAGTACCATTTGAATGGGATCAATTGATCTCCGATCATGTAGCAATGAGTGGCATAGGATGCACCAATAACATTCTTCCTTTTCTTATCAAGAATGCTAGCCTTCTGATTGGCGGACTTCTCACTGGACTTTGCCTGTGGAGACTTGTTCTGCTTGCCACGACCACCCTTGCCCTTCCTTGAAGTAGACATAATGTCAATCGGCAGTCAGTCTAATGAACAGGAAGAGAAAAGAGAAAGAGTATGAGTCAACAACAAGGATCAAGAAATATTCCTCAACATTAAGATAATCACAGGAAGGAATCAATTTTTTGGTAGGGACGACTAAAACAAGCTTTGGTCAGCACGACGAAAACATGTTTTAACCCGCACGACGAAAACATGTTTTAACCAATACGACGAAAACATGCTTTGCTCGGTACGACGAAAACATGATTTGGTCGGTACGACGAAAACATGTTTCAACCAATACGACGAAAGCATGATTTGGTCGGTACGACGAAAACGTGTGAAAAACTGCACCGGGCACTTACAGGCTTGTTCCTTGTGTTTGGGCTCTTTCCAGCTAGAGATCTGTGCCGGAGTAGTGGCAGTGATGGTAAGGAGACTCTGTGTGTGTCTTCTTGGGCTGTGGGGAGTGCAGAGGGGGGATAGATGTGGAGATTTGGCTGTGGATGGAGTGGGAGGTTGTTCTTGTTGTGGATGTGGGTTGATTTGTGGAGTGAATCCAAATCCAAATGAAATTATGACCATTTCGCTGGCATTTGGCTGGCAAAACGCACGCGAACAAGCGTCGATTTGGTTTCGTCTTACGGACTAAAACAAGTTTCGGTCGTTAGGTTTAAAACAGGTGTTAGCCTTGTTGACTAAAACACGTTTCGGTCTTTAGGTTTAAAACAGGTTTTAGCCTTGTTGACTAAAACATGATTTGGGAAGGATGTTCAATGTTAGTTTTAGTCAAGATGACGAAAACATGTTTTAGTCAGGTGGACGAAAACAGAAAGTTACTTAGGCGAGAGCGGGGTGAGTTACTCTGTGATATAATCCTGACTCAGTAGCATTTGTGTCACGGTCAGGTTCATGGACTAAGATGTACCGCCATTGTTACAGTATTTGTTAGCGGTTCCCGCTGGATCTACAGTCTCTGTCATGTTACAGCTACAAGTTACGCATTCTTTGTATTTGGTTGTACGGAGTGTTTTATTAGTGTAGGGAAGATATCTATTATAATGTTGTCGCTGGTTCCTCCTTCCCCTTTCGTAAGTAAAATGTGTCAATTTGACTTGTCCTTGTTGCGGTCTGTAGTGTACCGGTAGGAAGTAGCCAATGAATACCGACCGAGTTTGCAATTTGTCGACGTCGTCATCTTCCCGCTTTCCGATCACAAGTTTCGTTCGTTTCAGTTTGAAGAAGGCTACTATCCAATCCGCTTGAGGGGCCCATGGACTGAAACGGGCGCTCCCTGATTAAGCGCTGTCATAAGCGGCCTTATCAATGCGCTCTAGAAAGTCCGGCTTGCGATGTGTTACCTCTGCACGGGACTTCGGTTTGAACGAGACCTTGCCATTTTCGTACTTGGTGACTTGGCCAACCTGTCCGTTGTTTGCGTCATTGGGCTTGTTCACTCGGCAATACATGTCGCGCTTCCAAGCCGTTGCCGCAGCCTGAGAAAATGGAAGCGCCAATCACGGTTTCAGACGAAAGCGATTGAGAAAGAAGGGTGAGGGAATGACGGATAGAAAGGCACCAGCGAGACGAAAAGCAAATGGCAAGTTACATACATTGTTGGTTGCGGCCTGCAGAAACGGAAGAACCAAATCATGGTTTGAGGATTGAGGAAGAAGGGTTGAGAGAAATGTCGGAAAGAAAGGCACCAGCGACGAAAAACAATGGGAAGCTACACACGGTGGCGGTTGGGGCCTGTGGAAGTTGAAGAGTCAACCGTGGTTTTGGAAGAGGCGAGTGAGATCCACGAGAATAGGAGAGCGAGACAAGTCGAAGGAAACAACAAAGGACTTACAATGGGAGCTGTTTGGGTCTTGCTGACGGCTATGCCAGCCAACATTTTCGTTACATCCACCACGGATTCCTGGATTTTTAGCATAGCTGTGACAACAGGTGCTGGTACTACTCCTATGGCCATCTTTTCACAGAATGCCAGCGGAACCATGGGGTTTTCCTCCTGTCGCCGACGTGCTGCTGCCTCATCGTTGCGTCGTCGACGATCTTCATCGTCAAGTCTCCGACGGTCTTCTTCGTCGCGTCGTCGACGGTTTGCTGCTTCTCCGGTTGTGACAGCCAAGTCAGCCAACATTTTGGTTGTTTCGGTCACCAATCCCTGATTTTTTAGATTTGATTCCTGGTTTTTTAGAATACCTGTGACAGCAGGCAACGGTACCATCCGTTCACAGCACCACAGCGGCACCATAGGTTCGTCGACGTCTTCTTCGTCGCGTCGACGACCATCATCTTCGCGTCGACGGTTGTAGCCGCCACCCAGGAGTCCGTTTTCTCCTTCCGAAGACTTTCAACCTCCTTCCGAAGACTTTCGTTCTCGGCCTTTTGGCGTGCTTGGTCTTCCAGTTTGCGTTGCTCCTTCTCCTTCCGAAGACTTTCAACCTCCTTCCGAAGACTTTCGTTCTCGGCCTTTTGGCGTGCTTGGTCTTCCAGTTTGCGTTGCTCCTTCTCCTTCCGAAGACTTTCGACCTCCTTCCGAAGACTTTCAACCTCCTTCCGAAGCCTTTCGACCTCCTTCTGTAGGCGCGCTTCGTCTTCCAGTCTGCGTTGTTCCTTCTCTTGGCTCAGGCGTACAAGCTCTGCCTTCGTCGCGTCGCGATGATTCTCGGAGCTCATTCTGTTTCGTCGTTGGAACTCTTCTTGGTTCTTGATTTGAGAATGAAGACGGCAGCTGGCGGCGCAAAGCGCAAAAAATGAGCGCGTGAAGAGTGAAGGGGTGAAAGAGAACATCGGCCTGCTTACTATTTTAATTATAGTAGGGAGATCTTGGGAGCCGTGATCCCTGCACTGCGACCTGCGACGTGACAACCACGCATCCCGCAGCGCCCAGCTCCCAGAGTTCTTTCCTTCCAGTCGAAGAGACGCTCTCCACTTACCATCTTCATCACAGCAGAACCATCTTATTCATTCTTTCCCTTTGTCTGTTCACCAGCCATGCCTTTGTAATACCACAAGGCCGCAAGAGTCTCCTCCAGTCGGCAGCAAAGAAGAATTTTGCCGATGAAATCCTGGATGCCCTCGATACCATGGCTGGAGTGTCACCGTTGTCAGAGACAGATCTGAAAGAAGCGGATAACTGGGTGGAAAGAGCGGAACAGAGAGACAAGGTAGCTCCACCCAAAGATTCCCTTTCCAAACCGTCCGTGAGCATCTTCTTCTTCCTATTGGGGTTCATTCCCAGTGTCTTGTTCCTCTATGCGGTCATGTCGGGGGCCGTGCGGCCGTTCAATTTATAAGACAAAAGAATACAAAAAACAAAAGCAGACAACGTGGCGTATTCAATTTGGCAGGGTTCGTTGGGTGGAATGCCTGCAGTTCTGGTGTGCAGCGGACACACACAGAAATATACGATTGTGTTCTTGGACAAGGCTTGAGTTGTGGAAAGTGATGCAAACAACTGCAAAGTTTAATGAACTTGCAGAGAGACAATAAATTCTGATAATTGGAAATTTCTACAGTCGTACAGTTGGTTATGAACTCTCTATGCTTGCAAGACAACACAACAGATACTCGATTGGTTCCCCGCTAGTAGCAAGATTTGATGCTCTTCCTTACCAATCTCATGTTCTCATGTTGCCCACGAGCTCCTCTTGCTAGTTGTTGCTTTGGAGAAATACAGCCTTTACCATGATGAGGAAGCTGATAATTGTCGCTCAATGATTCGACTCAACGTTGGGTGCAATTGGTTGTTCTGGGGCGCCCCCCTCCCCCCCTCAAAATGCGATTCAAGGAAACAACATGGTACGAGTCCCTCCAAGGTCATCCAACGGCAACCAACTACACAACTGACAGATCCAAGGAATTGAGGGAATCTTCACCACGAAACGTTGCTGCGTCGTCGTGGTTGTGAACCCGTCTTTGTGCATAGCTTTCCTTTACTTGTCGACGCTTGTACATGACAATAAAAAAGGAAAAGGTCACAAAAAGCAGGCACGCAGCGACGAAGGCAAAGGCAAGATAAAACAAGATATCAGTCTTTTTGCTCGACTGGGAAGTGGTGCTGTGAACAGCAGAAACTGAAGGGGTGTCGACTTCTTTGGTACTGCTGTCCTCGCTGCCAGATTCGGAAGCTTCTGTGGTTGTTTGCTGTGGTGTTGAAATTATGGTTTCCACAGAAGATCCAGCAGGGACATCGTGGTTAGAGTCTTCACTCTTCGGAGCTTCGGAAGGCTGAGTGGTGTTGCCAGCGGTAGATTCAGAACTGGTCATCGTCTCATCACCCTTATCCACGGCTTGCGGTTTGGTGGGTGTTGCAGTGGCAACCTGGCTACCGGCAGTGTCGGGAGTTTCTTCCTTTTTCTCCTTTGGACATTGTTCATTTACCACTGCCAATAGTTCCGTGTCAACACACTTGGGATCAAGTGTGCCTTGACTGCCACAAAAGAGCTTGGAAACGTGGCTGTGCTCCACTAGACCTTCCCAGCACAGTGCGTGATTAAAAGCACTGGCGTTGTAGAACATTCCGCCCATATCCTTCACATTTGCAATGGTCCAGTTGGACAAATCATGAGAGAAGGAGGTTGCATTCCAAAATGCAAGGGCCATGTACTTGACATTGGCCGTTTGCCAGGAGGAAATATCACTGTTAAAAGCTGTTGCATGGCTAAAGGCATAATCCATGCTTCGCAAGGACTCGGTTAACCAGGTAGAAATATTCCCATTAAACGATGTTGCAAAGTTGAAAATTGCGTCCATGTGTTTGACCTTGCGGGTATCCCACAAATCCAGGTCTTGGTTGAAAGAGGTAGCTCCATTGAAGAGATAGGCCATGCTGGTGACAGAACTTGTATTCCACTTGGAAATGTCGTCGTTAAACTCTGATTTGTCCTGAAATAATTTTTGCATATCTGTCACTTGTGATGTGTCCCAGCTTTCGATGGCTCCATACTTGGACTTGGCACCCTCTCGGTTGGAAAACCATTCGTCCACCGCCAAACCAATATTGTCGTCCGTGAGAGGTGTCTTCTGGGTTTGTTCGCCTTTGGCTACACCAATGATAAAAATCCAAAAGGCCAGGGCTCTAGAGAGGCGAATGTTAAAAGCGGCCGTCATGGTTTTATTGGCGGCTTGTCCTTGCTACGGAATTATCTGCATCCAGTCAGCTCGGAAGAGGATTTGCTGCAATTGTGGGAGCTTAGAGCGCGGTTGCAGGCCGTTGGATTCAACCACAGCATCTCCTATGTGATCACAAAGAGCGAAGGGAAGGCGGCGTCTGCGTGTTGGTAATTAGACTTGAACGATGGTAATATAGAAAATAGCTGGAAGAGGATGCTGGAAACACAAAATCTATGTTTCTTACCGTATGGCACCAGCACCTACCGGTACCGGTACCGTACGAGTACGGTACGGTACGTACGGTACGGTACGGTACTTAGCGGACCGCTGCGGGTACCGAAACTTACCACACGGTATAGTACCGCTAACTACAGTACCGTATGGTACTGGTATCTACCATATCGTAAATGTATGGTACGGTACCATTCGGGCATATGGATCCAGGCCCTGTTCCAGGTGGTACTGTACCGGTACGGTACCTGGTACAGGTCAACATCAGGAATCAGGACCTTACAAAGCCTAACCCCACAGCACTTGCTTACCTGGTTGAGTGAAGAAGCAAGCCATGCAGTCGCTCAGGGTACCCTCCCCACTACCAGTAGTATACATGTCAAAATTGTAACCAAAAAGTGGTTCCTTAACATTCATGTACCAGTCTTCACAGGACCTACTACCTGGTAGCTACTGTTAGGGAAAACTACGTACATTTAGTACCCAGGCAAAGCATCAACCCTCTACCGGTACGCTCTTATAGAGAACAGACCTTGCGAGCTTCATCCCCAGCCAGTTGCCGCCATCCCATTGCGCAATTGCCCTCAACCGACTGAGGGTCTTTCACACTTTTATCGCTGTATGTGCAAGTTAGTCTGTACGTCTCTGTGTGTGCTGGTTAGTGTGTACGTCCGGCATAAAGGATGGGGTAAATAATAATTGTTAGTTGGTAAAATATACTCCGAGTACCAAACTATGTGTGTGTGCAAGTTAGTATGTACGTCCGCCATAAAGGATGGGGTAAATAATAATTGTTAGCAGGTAAAACATACTCCGAGTACCAGAGTATGTGTGCAAGTTAGTCTGTACGTCCGTCATAAAGGATGAGGTAAATATTAATTGTTAGCTGGTAAAACATACTCCGAGTACCAATGTGTGTGTTTTGGTTGGCTATCGATAGACTACAGTAGACTGTGTGTTCAGTTGAACACAGTGTTGGATTTGGCCAAAGAATCAAATCTCTTTTTTGACAGTTGAGGGCATCAGCCTTCGGCTGTCTGTTCTATGGGTCCAACCGTACGGTACCCTACCTTGTCCGTCAGAGACAAGACTGCTGCCCAAGCTTCCACTTCTTTCTCTTCGCTAGCTAGCTAGGTAGAGTCATGGCCACCTGCGGCTTTCTTGCGACAGAATGCAACGTCTGTCGCCTGTCGCCCTCGGATGTCGATGTCATGTCTACGTCAGTTCGGCAACTGTAGATTTAGGAGGTGCCGAAAGTTCTTTTGTAACGTTTCGACAGCTGGCCACAGTGACAAGATAGTTAGAGGTGGGGTAAATTATTGATGATGCAAGGGATAAATACCGCGCCCTACTGCCAATTCCTTTGTGTCTTTTTTCTTCTTTCTCGAACGCATGTGAGTGGTTGCCATTGACCAAAAGGCAAACACCCATCACACCGATCAAGTTGATTGGCCCAAGTTCAGCGCATCGGCATTTTGCAAGTGGGATCGAGAGAGAGACCGAGACGACGCAGCTATCAGCTACCACGCATTAATTGGCTTCCGATAAAAATCTACAGGCACCTCAAGGAAATAGGACATTGCATTGGGAACTCCAAAAGTGGCCAGCACAGGATCCTCGGGAAGTCCAACCAACCAACCAACCAACCAACCAACCAGTTCAGAATTGTTTTGCTTTTGGGCTATCATTTCATTATCTTTTTGCTGTAATGAAGATGACTGGGCAATCAGAACGCATTTCCACGATCCCTTCCACCTCGATGATGTTTTGTTTGGGTATACAAAGACTCCAAAGGGTAGCACTACTGGTTGCGTTGGCGTGCCAAGGAGCCACTGCTTTTGCTCCCCAAATACTCAAGACTGCCACCGCAAGCATCGGTCATTCTGCAGCTGCTTCCGTAAGCAACCAATATAATCGCTGGGACACACGGTTGCGAGTTTCCTCGACAGAAGAAATATCCACGGATACTGAGTTGGACTTGGAAGCTCTGCGTGGACCTGATGGCATTTACAACATTGAAGATAAAACCCAGCACAAGTGAGTGACAAAAATTATACCATGGGTAGTCGTGATACCCGCCTGTATTATCCGTCTTGACAACAGGTCATTGCAACAGCTCTGATTATTTCTTTCTGTTATCCTTCTTTTCTGCCCCTCCATCTCCTGTCATTCTCACTTCATTGATCGATAGAGCATTCTTGAAAGAGAATTCTGACCAGCTGGTCATTTTGAAGGTATTTGCTCCTTGGTGTCGAGCATGTAAGGGGTTGGAACCAAAGTATCAACAAATTGCCAAGGATAAGACCTACGCGGACGTTCCCATCAAGTTCACCTCCATGAGTATTCAAAACAACAAAGATTACATCAAGAGCATTGGAGTCCTGGCACTGCCCACAGTACAATTCTACAAAAATGGGCAATTGGTGGATAACTTTCCTTGTGGACCCAGTAAGCTACCCATTCTGAAACGAAAGCTGGCAGATTTGGTGGGCAACAGTGTGGATCCGGATACCAACAGGGTCAAGCCACCCAGGTCAGCCGGCACTGCAGTAGACGCAGCAAATCAGGTGGTCAAGCCACCAGGAACTCCCTCGGTACCCGTCAAAAAAGAAAAACAACAACTACAGCTCAAAGATGGTACTCCTTCTCCAGAACACAAGTATCTCACCAAAGAACAGATTGAGTACATGCGAACCAAAGTGCCATTCTTTGAAACGCTCGAGGATGATGATTGGCAGTCGTCTCTGGAACATGCCAAGATTCTCACTTTTGACAGTGGATCCATCATTATGAAGGAAGGAAATCTCGGACACACATTCTATGTCATTTTGGAGGGAGAAGTGGAAATTTGCCAAAGAACGGCATTTGAGGATCCATTAATTGCACCAACGGACTACATTGGTACTGTCATTAATCGACTCGGGGAGGGTGACTGGTTTGGAGAACGGGCCCTGATTACGGGTGAAGCACGAGCCGCCAGTATCCGGGTGACAGATCCCATGCGTTGTGTGGCCTTTTGCCAAGAAGACTTACCGGCATCCTGCGTCCTGCGAGGGCTTCCACAGGGATTTGCCCCCAGCAACAGCACCGTCGAAAATGCAGCAACGCAAAAACAAACAGAAATTGTCGACCGTGTCAATGAAAAATATGGCTTGTCCATGAAGGAATTGGATGCGATTGAGACTAGCAGAATTGTTGCAGAAGCCACTCTGGAAAATCAAAAACGTGGTAGCGCCAATACCCCCGAAGTCATTAGAGGCGTTGACACTGATGATGACGACGATGTGGACGTTGAGACACCCAACAACGAATGGAACTATTTGGAGGATGCCTCCTTGGCCATGCTCAAGTCCAAGACGGCTTCCATTGTGCCACTGCTAGAAAAATTCAAACTGATTCAGCTCATTGCGAGATGCTTTGATTACATTGTCGACAATCGTGCCAAGTGGGGAGATCCAGCCATTCGTCGGCGTCGTGCGCTCTTGGTATCGCGGTTGCCACGATCCCAGCGGGAAGAATTTGTGGAAGCCTTCCGACTGGTGGATGCCAGTGGAGATGGTGGCATTAGCATGATGGAACTGAGGCGAGTCATGGACAGTATTGGAGAAGAAAAGAGCGACGAGGAGTTGTGGGAGATGATCCCACACGGATACCAAAGTGGTTCTGTAGGCGAAGACGTGATGACACTGGAGGACTTTATGGGAATCATGGCGGAGGCCGAGTTTTACCATCTCTTCCGAGACATCTTTGCATCGTTGGACAAGAGAGAATCTGGTTTTGTGAAGGCAAAGGACTTGGACCGAGTATTGTGCGGTGTGCGCGACTTGATCAGTGATGATCGCCACAGTATAATAGACATGGAAGACAAGGAAATGATGATCGACTATGAGCAATTTACAAAGTCGTTGATCGGTTTGAGTCTCTAACTCTGGCACAGGTGGTCCATGAGGGTACTCTCTTTTTTGGCTTTGGACGATGCAACAATGCACAATGGGCTTAATAGAAGCAACAACTGCCTGAAGCTAATGCACATTTATCTATCAGAGTGTCTTGCGCTGTTTATGCGAGAAGCTGCACGGCTTGAGAAACAGTAGCAGTGAATGCAATTCACTCGTGATGTTTGTATATTGATGGCAGCTTCCCAGTAGCATGTTATGGTTGAGGTCTGAGTCGAGTCGTCAATTGAAATTCTGATGGTCCTGAGGCCCGTCGCAGGTCCACCTCCATTGACATGGTTAGGCCAGCTCCATCTCTCTTGACATGGTTAGCTCCTGTCCCATCAAAAAATGGTTGGGTTGTCGTCTCTAGACGGTTTCTCTCAATTCTGTCCTTCCAACAAACCTGCTTCCTCAAGTTGCATCCTACCGTGACAAACACCTTTGCCCAGTAGAACAATTGCGTCGTACCGTATACTTACTCCACCGTGTACTCCAATATCTTGGTGATATTCTCGGGTGAATACGCGGCACACTTGACGGGATGGTACAACGCTTGTGGCCGGATCGGAGCATGACGATCCAGATACTGTGTTGTTGGATCCCTCCAATCTCCCCATCCAGCATTGACAATCCTACCAATTCTCGGGGTCAATCCATCCAAGGAGCAGTCTAGTAGATAAACCTTGCAAACGGCCGCCACGACGGCTTCGTGATGTCCCAAGATCCATTGTTTCGGCACGCGCTCGACCAACGTCTTGGCAAATCGCAGCGATACTCGAATGATTCCCCACCGTGCCATGGATGGTTCAATTTCGTGGCACCGTTTGCGTCGCCGTTGCCTGGGTTGTGCGGAGAATTCGGAATCGTACCATTTGATGGTTTCGGGCACCCGAACATAGCACAGCGCAACGAAATGGGGCCAATCCTTCGGGGCTTTGTTTCCCGTGGCGAGCACATCGAAATTAGTAGTAGTACTGTTGTGGGAAGCGGCGGGTGGTTCGGTATCAAAGACTTGGTGCCATGGTCCCGTATAAAAGACATCATCTTCAATGTGCCACCCCCAGCCGTAGTTGTATTCGGCAATAAATTTCAAAAAGGAGGATTTTCCGGCCCCGGACCGTGGACTGTCAAAGCGGTCCCATCGTTTTGAGAATTGTTGAGCGAAGTGCAGATCCATCCCTAGGTCTGTTTTGGCAAATGCTCTTACTTGCTTGAAGAGAAGGGCACTTTTTTGACGGAGTGGATTGGATTCTTTCATGGAAGAGTGATGATGCATGACCCACACATCTCTGGGAGCATTTTGGGGTGTCAGTATTGTTGAATTTCTTTCATGATGATCTCTAGATTTTGCCGTTTGCAGCAAATGTTTCAGCCTTGCAGCACCACAGTCCGTGAGGTAATGCACCACCAAGACAATCGCTGTTCGATTTTGATTCTGCTTATCCTCCACTCGATGCATGGGAAGATTGGTGGAAACTTCGTCTTTTGTTGGTCGCCGAAGTATTGCGCGACTTGTCTGTTGAAATAAAATCTGGGAGGACGAGTTGCCGGCGTCAGAATCTGTGGAATTGGTTGTATTGCGTTGATTCAGTGCCGTCGTCGGTTGGATGTAGGAATCATTGTGCTCCAATGAAACAGTATGGATTGTTGTGTTGGTGGCATTGTTTGTGCGCTCTTGTAAAGGAGGATTTTCGTCGGAGAGGAGCTGTCTTGCATCTTCACTGGTCGCTGTCGCGGGGGTTTGATTCAGAAAATCGACATGGAAAGTTGACAACACGAGGCCGGACCGATACAGGACACCCAGGTTTATGCACAGCACAATGGCATACAACAAGTATCTTCGACATCGAGCTAAGGACCAATCGCATCGTCTCTGGGAAACTTCTTTCTTGTCGGACACTGCTGACATTGCGGGATGGAGACTCATCTGTGTGGGCGAGGATCAGAACGGGAAATGTGCTTTTTGAAGAAGCAACACAAGGCAACCTGTCTGCCCAAGCACTACCAGTCTGCCCAAGCACTACCAGGTACTCTAGACCAGTTGGATCGTCTACTAGTATGCTTTCTCCAGTCTGCCTACGAGTACTAGCTACCGGTAGCTCGTGCTCGCGGACCGAGGACCCTGGCACCATTGGCCACAAAAATGCTTGGTACAAAAGAAAATCTGGTTAAACTAGCTACAGTACATGTATTTCGTAGTTTATCTGAAATAAAAATATTATTATTGTCTGTTACGTGGCGGGCGACGGAGCTACGGGTACCGGTAGCTACCGTACCGTAAAAGTATATCCCAGAACTGAGAGGAATACTGAGAGCCTGTACGAGTAGTAGGGGATCCTACTGGTGTATCGATCGAGGTATCAAGGTACACCCAACACCTGGTGTATGCTGGTTGACGATCGTTCCTTGATACCAGTGACGATCGAACGAAAGGTCACCGCCTTGGTCGTAAGAAAAATGAGGCTCGTACCTCTACTGTTGGAGGAAACATACCTGACACCTCTTTACTATTGACTCGTGTATTAATCATCTAGTCCGGTTCGCATGTAAATTGATCATGCAAGGAACCAAGGGAGTTTTAGGTCTAAAGTGTTGCGGGGGTCCTTATATCCAATTCAATCACAAGAATTGCTATGCACCACCAGAAAATCCTCACTTTTGCTTTACAGCTTAATCCAAAACCAAATTACTCCCCAATAAGCTGCAGTTTTACTAGCTAACACTGTAAAGCAAAAGGCCATCTCGAGCTACTACCGATCTCGAGATCGATATCAAGGTAAACCAAGTCAAAGACATCAAGTTCAATTGACTTGAAGAGAGTTAACACCTGCAACAGAGAAGAGGTGCACAGAATCAGGCTCTAGCTACACTATCAGAGCATCGAAAAGCCTCTAACAGGAAAGAGGTGCGCGCGGGAAGAAAATCCCATTTTAAGTCACAGGTACGAGTACGGAACATCGTCTAACAGTTTCCGGCCGGAACTGGAAGCAACCACGTACACGTACAGATCAAGCGAAGAAAACTGAAAAGGTTTCCAGCTGACGGCATCGCGAA